GAAAAGGCCCGGAGATGCCCCCGGAGGAGGGGCTGCAAAGCCAGCCCAGGGAGCTGTGAGGAGGAAAGAGCCGTCCTGTGCCGGGAAGGCGGCCGGAGCTTGAGCCGGAGCTCTGAGCTGGTGGTCCCTGAGCAGCCTCCCAGCAGGGAGAAGCCCTTCAGGTGCTTGGAATGTGGGAAGAGCTTCAGGAAGAGCACCCACCTCCTCAGCCACCAGCTCATCCACACTGGGGAACGGCCCTACACATGTAGGGAATGTGGGAAGAGCTTCAGGAGCAACTCTAACCTGATCCAACACCAGCACATCCACTCTGGGGAACGGCCCTACACGTGTAGGGAATGTGGGAAGAGCTTCAGGCAGAGCTCCCACCTCCTCAATCACCAGCACATCCACACTGGGGAACGGCCCTACACTTGTGGGCAATGTGGGAAGAGCTTCAGCCAGAACTCCACCCTGATCCGACACCAGCACATCCACACTGGGGAACGACACTACAAGTGTGGGGAATGTGGGAAGAGCTTCAGTGACAGGTCCACCCTCCGCAACCACCAGCTCATCCACACTGGGGAACGGCCCTACAAGTGCTTGCAATGTGGGAAGAGGTTTCAGACCAGCGGGAATCTCCTCAGGCATGAGCAGACACACACAGGGGAGAGGCCCTTCCGCTGCACCGACTGCGGGAAGGGCTTCAACCGGAACTCCCACCTCGTCACCCACCGGCGCATCCACACCGGGGAGAGGCCCTACAAGTGTGGGGAGTGTGGGAAGAGCTTCACCCAGAGCTCCAACTTGACCCAACACCAACGAACCCACCAGTAAGAAAAGCCCCTCGAGTGCCCCGACTGCAGGAAGAGCTTCGGCCGCTTCTCCCACCCCGAATGATCCCCCTGATGGTGAGGCAACCCCTGGAGTCCAGGGACTGTCAGTCCATCCCTTTCTACCAGAAAGGGCCAGTCCCCTTTGCCAGGGGCAGGTTGTGCCAACAGAACCCCTCTTGGGGGGTGTGTGGAGATTCCTGCCTTGGCTGGGACCCCCCAAGGTCAGTGCTGGAGGTTGAGAGCAGAGATCTCCCCACGAGCATTGGTCTGGGGGAGTTCCATCCCATAATTCTTGCTTTGGTGCCAGCTTGAGTAGAATTGCTTCAACAATTGCTTTAGTGTAGAGCACTGTCCTATCTTATGCTGTCCTACTGGTAGTTTTAGTGTTTCTATTGTGCAGTAAATAACTCTGATGAAGATCTTTTGTCTGATCATTTGTAACCCCAAATAATTCATTTCTATCAATAGATGTGATTTGCCATGATTACAACCTGAGGGACAAAAGTGGTTCAGTCCCACCTCTGTAATTCCTCTAAACTTAACCTGTTGACATAACCCAAGGCTGAGAGGGGATCCAGCAGCCCCAGCACCCCAAAGTCAGTTGGGAGCTCAGGGGGGCCACCTCCCTTTTATAAATCCTCCCTTTCCTAAAGACCCGTATGGTACCGTCGGATCTTCCAGACCACCCCCCTTTTTCCACCCTTCTCCCTGTTCCTTCCACTTTTCCGTGGTCCCTCATTACAATGTGCTTAAATATTGCAGAAAGAACTTCAGATTCAAAATTCTCTTGAGCAAAACCTAAATTAACACAAGGTATCTGTTGATACCAAAAACTGATTTTATTAATTGATAAGAGATGCAAAGAGAACGAGGAAAAAATAAGAAAGGGTTGGAAACTGCTAAGATTATTTCTAGAAACAGAGAAAAGATACCACTGAAAACTACCTTTTCCCACTGAGCTGGTCTGTGTGTGGGGGAAGAGAAGCAGTTTCTGCCTTTTTTTTCTCTGTCCCTGCAGCTTTTGGATGTTGTCTCTGTAGCTGCAGGGGCTCTGACAGCTTTAGTTCTCTGCAGTGCACCAGGTGTGGTTTCACCGCTCACGCCCCTGTCCCAGGCCGTGCAGGGTCTCAGCTCAGCCCAAGCTTTGGGCCCTCAGAAATATGGTCAGGGTAGAAGGATA